GATGTAGAACACGTTGATGAAAATCACAAATGATAGTCTCACAGTTGACAACCTTTGGCATCCATCTGAAAATATGGCATCCATCTAAAAACCTTAAAATGTAACTTTTGTAGTGAAGTGTTAACATGCGCCTTTCTTCCTTCCATTGCAAGTTAACTATGACTAGATGTGCATCGAAGAGCTAACGGGCTAACATTATGACCCATACTTCCACCTAGATTCTCTTCAGAGTGCACACAACCAAAATGCACCCCAGGTATCTCCCTTGCCCTACTCTTGATCCTTCTTCTTCTGTCCACTCTTCTCTCCTCCATACTTTCCTTTTGCTATTTCTCCATATCAACTCCCTACTGGTGAATTTCACTCCTTGTGAAAGGGGTATGCTCTGTTCTGGAGCAGACCAGTCCATCATACAGTGTCTGTTCCCAACGGGGCAGATACCCAATACTCTGACCATTGCAGTGCTGATGAGCTTGTAGCCCAACTTAACTCCCTGTAATCAATAATTGGTATTGTTAATGTGTTTGTTGGGCTATAGACAGGTTGCTGCCAACAGATGTCTGTGTGCTCTGCTTGTCATTGTATGTAAAACAAGATTGGCAATAGAGGGCATAATAAAACATTTTTTAAAGGCGATTAGGCCAGTTAAGCTGCTTTTTTTTTTTTTGCAAGTAATTTTATTGAAGAATTTTCAACAATATATGTATAAAAGGTAGGATTGATCGCAGAAGTGTCACAATCTCATCGACAAAAAGTCCTGTATGATATAGGCACGTAAGAATACAGCACAATAATCAGTAGAGCTAAGCTGCTTTTGTGTGAATTTTCCAGTGTATAAAAGTGTGGCTGTTGTACCAATGGGGCAAAAACAAATGTTCCCAGGCTATATTCTCTTGTGATCAAATGTTCTTAGGCATTCTCTCTTAGAATCGAATGTTCTTAGTAGGGATACACCGACACTAGTATTGGTGCCGATGCTGAGTATTTGGGCCAGTACTCTTACTCGCCCAAATTCTCCGATGCCTAGCCCGATACTTGAGCTTCTTGTATCAGGAAGCTGGGCAGTGAGTCATTACACGCTGCCTAGGTTCCTGATTGGCCGGGAAGCCGTCTCCATGCTCTCTCGTCATTTGTGATCAGGAAGCCGGGCAGCGTGTCAGTACACACCCCCGGCTTTCTGATTGTCCAGAAAGTCGGCTTCATGCTCCCTCATCACCTTATGACGAGGGATCATGGAGCCAGCTTCCCTGCCAATCAGGAAGCTGGGCAACATGTAATGACAACACGTTGCCCGGCTTCCTGATTGGCCAGCTTCTCCACCAATCAGGAAGCCTGGCAATGCATCGTTACACAGCGCCCGGCTTCCTGATTGGCCAGAAAGCCAGCTCCATGCTCCCCCGTCACCTGGTGAAGAGCAAGCATGGAGACGGCTTCCTTGCTAATCGGGAAGCCGGGTGGTGAGTCTTACACGCCGCCCGGCTTCCCGGCTAATCAGGAAGCCAGGTGGTGAGTCATTACACGCCGCCTGGCTTCCTTAATGAGACTTCCGCTATCTGCGAGTACCGTGAAAAAAAATATCTTTACTCGTACTCCATACCGGAAAACCGATATCAGTGCATCCCTAGTTCTTAAGAACATTTAATCAGAATAGAAAATGCCCTAAAGTATTATGTTTTGGGATTGAATATTCTTAAGATATTTTTACTTCTCATTGAACGTTTTCAGGTATTTTTACTCCTGATTGAGTATTCTTAGAGTATTTTCACATGGGATTGAATGCTCTTATATATCTTATGATATTTTCGAATCTTAGGGTATTCTCTCTTTGTATCAAATGTCCTTAGAATATGTTACATCCACTACTGCTTATATTGGACAGTTGCCTCAGATGGCATCTCATGGGGGGGGGGGGGGG